CCAACTGTGTAATGAGGCTGGCTCTTTTGCATGTGTTTATCTGTTTATGTATGCTACATTTTTGTATCTGGAAATGCTTTATTAATTGTGAATGCAATTCCTACAGCAGTAGTGAATCAGGTCTTAGATGACTACAAAATATATCAAAGCTGAAAAAAAGTAGAATTTATCCAATCATTATTTTAATAAGTTCTGTAACTCATGTAAGGCATGTTCCTTGTGTTACAAATCAGTGGTCAGGCTATTTTTTTCCGCCCTTTAAAAAAATACCTGATGTATCTTTCTGAAAAACCAAAAAAAAAAAAAAAAAGGAATTTTACCTGTTGCTTTCAATAACTTGCAAGGATAGGAATAGAAAACAGGTATCTTGTCAGTCATCGTGTATTTCCTAACATTGTACTTCTTTTGAAGTGGTGTAATAAAGAACACACTGGTATTCTATCTGGCTGTGGAGAACTGCAGCTAAAGGCTGATGCTTCTAATTATAGCAGAGGGATGGGACATTTTTATTTATTTAGGTATTAAAAAGACTGACTACATGGAATATTTTATTATAATGCTGTCTTTAGTGTCATATACATTACAATATTTAAAAAATAAGTGCATTGTTGTTTTTTTTCTGTGTTGTGGCATGTGAGGCTGGGTTTCAAAAGCAGCATCTTTTAATCTGTTGTAATGGTGATTCTGCAGGTGGAGTGGGTGAAAACAATTCTCTGAAGTGGTCAGACTGCTGTAGTGAGCTGCAGTCCAGACCTCAGTATTTGCTAGTAGTGAATTACTCCAAAAGCTGGCAGCTGATGCTGTTCAGGAGTCAGGAATGTGTTGTGGTCAGCTGTGGCTCTCTCCTGGTGACACCTCTCTGGCTATAAAAACAGAGCTGCTGGCCAGAGAGAATTCACCTGCATCTGGATGGTGAAATTATTTATGCTCCAGTACCTGAGACTTTGAAATACTTTGGAGTTTCCTGTCCATGATGCATCTTGGCAAATGAACAGCAATGCACTGGCACCAGCACACAGACCTGTGCTACTGGAGGGAGTGAGGTCTGAGAGTTCTCTTGTCAAAAAATGAAATCCTAGTCCTCAGGCATATAAGCAAAGCTGAATTTTAGAGCAGTTCTTTTCATAATGTTCTTTGCTTCTTCTAGCTGTATAAATGCAGCGGTATCTTGCAAATTAATTTAAGAAATTTTTTGTGCTCAAATAATTTCTGTAATCCCATGATGAGTTTTCTACTTTTGTGTTCTTGGGGAAACTGCTCTCTGCTTCCTTCATGTTCCATAAGTGATGACTGCTAGTGAGGGTTACAGGAGCAAGAAAAATCTCCTTAGCAGGATGGAGTCAAGGCACTGTTCTAAAGTCTGCTATGAGCTACCCTGGGCTGAAGCAAATTGGTGTGTCTGTCTCACTGCCTGAATGATCTCTAGAATGTTGAATATTGAGACATTGTTTAGATCTGCCCTGCCCAGGCCTGTTAGCTGGTGAATCCCTGGTGTTTATTACAGTAGTGCTTGGGCAGCAGTGGGCAAGAACATGGAGTGAGGCAGACAGAAAGCAGAAAGTGAAAAAATACAGCAAATTCCCAAATGCCTGCAATTAATAATTTTAACAAATGCATCACTGTTTCTTCATGTTGGCTGCCTGCTGTTTCCACTCCTCTTTCTCTGCATGCTCAATATTTTTCTCCCATCTGTCCCTTGGCCGTAATGATGGGACAGATGCACTGCCTCAGTCTTCCTCTTGTATTAAAACAACCTCATTGCTCCATTCCTCCCCAGCAGGATTTATGTGCTCAAGTTTCTTTATCATCTCCCCCTCTCCGATTTTCTCTGTGCTGTGTATAGATATATATGTAATATGCTCTCTTTCATGGTTTAATTAGAAATACCATATACACAAGGTATGAAATATTGATTGCTACATACACATATTTTTATATGTAAATATATATGTGTGTATATATGTACATATATGTGTGTCTACATATAAAATATGTGTTTGATGCCTTGTACCTTTCAGTGTAAAAGATTCTCTGTGTGGTCTTTTTATGATGTGAAGCAATACATTCTTCATTGTAACTGGCCTTTCAAACTCTGTAAGAAAAGCTTTTAAACTAAAAACCTCAGCATTTTCTTCATGAGGTTCTGTTAGGATCAGCTGTGCTTTGAACTGTTAAAAACTGTCATTTCTGTTGCATGTTTTCCTCAGGAGATATTTCGGGTATGTTAAAATCATAGCTAGGGAGAAAAAGGAGCAAGAATAGCATCTGCTGTGCATGGAGGGTCTGAGAGCACAGATCGAGTCCAGCCGCTGCAGGTCACTGCCTTCCTCTCCTGACTGCAGTGTGAAAAGTTCATGGTACAGGCTGCTGCTGGAGGAGGGGAGGAAGCAAATGTTATTGTTAATGGTTTACTCTTTGCTTTTAGCAGGACCAGCCTTGGGAGTTTGTACTAAAATTCCCCCTAGAACAGATGATTTGGCAATTAATGCAGTCTTCTCCCCACCACCACCTCCAGTTAGGAAGTACCAGTGCATTCCATGTGTGTGCAGCTCAGCTCTTGTCATCTCTGTAAATGCTTTACATTGTAGCCTTTGCATTTTAATATCCTTAGCAAAAATATTTTTTTCCTCTAAAACCCCATTTTGTCTTTAGTGTGTAGGTTAGCCTGAGACTAAGAATTGTCTGTGCTGCTGACACGTGCCCAGTACAAGGAGCAGACTTAGCACTCTTGAGTTCATTCACATTGCTAGATAGTGAAAAAAAACCATGTGCTGATCAGATTCAGAGCTCTCACACAACATGATAATGAATTTAATATAAGTGAAAACTGAAGCAGGGTAGTCAGGAGCTATTTGCTCTCCAAGCCCTTATTGGATAGAGCAGGAAGTGCTGCCCTTAGAACTGCAGCAAGGTCCAGATTTGGCTTTTAGCAAAACTCTCCAAAGGCAAAGACAGTTTGTGTGCAGACACCATACATTTGTGGAATTCCTAAGCAGATCAGACAAATCTGTTTGTCAGGCACACGAGTATTGATTCATATCTGGAATGTTGCTCTTTCCAGTGAAACAAACCAAAACTTCCTGTGTGGAAAAGCTCAGCTGGAGATAAGTGATATTGAAGTGAGCTGGCATGAAACCAGCCCTGCTTGTGCCTACAAAATCCAGATGGGTCACAGGAGGGGACAGGGTTTGTCCTCAGGCACATCTTCATCCGCAGTGCAGCTCCAGGGCTGCTTCTGCCAACATGCTCACATGCAAGTGATGTGATGGCAGGAGAGTCTGTGCTTAATTGATGCTCTTTTTATACATTTTAGGGCTACTCTGGCTGATGTAAATCTATTTTCCAAAGTTTGAAAGTTTGGTTGCAAACATTCTTTTCAATATAGTATTTTTTTCAATATCTGTTGCCACAGAGCTGGCAAGGTTTGAAATTGTGTAGTATTTGTACAATATTTTCCTTCCCACACAGTTCTGCTAATTTTGGATCATGCTGTTTAGTCCAGTGGATGTAACTGAAGCAGAAAGGTTTGCCCAACAGCAATAACGGCTGTAAAGTGACCATAATCCTAGTCATGGTATACTTGTAAAATAATGAGCAACCACGATTTTAAGAGTTTAACTCTGAACTCTTTCTTATTTTAGAACTTATTTCTTGTTGTTTTGCCTTGTTACCAACAGTGAGGAAGATGTTTTCTTCAAGAATCTGTTTATGTTACTTATTAGGATGGAGAGGGTAAAGTGAGTCAGTAAATATGAAGGACAATTTTGTGTCTCAAGTCTTGTCCTGGTACTACTTTTTAAACCAACTTTACTTTGAGTTTCTGGCTGCAGTTGTGAATGAGGCAGCAATTCCCACGGCCCACAGTGTAGCTGTATGAAAGAAGCCAAATTCCAGTCCAGGTCTGCAGACTTTCCATGTCCTTTCTAGTCCTCCTTTTGGGGATGCTCTCAAGACACCACTGTGTGTGTGTGTGTGTGTGCGCGCGTATGAGTTGAAGACTGGAAGACTGACTGGAAGCAGAAAAATGTTCATTTTGTTTTATTTGTTTGCTATCAAGCTTGAGTGCTCAGGGACTTAACTGAAAAGTAATAGCAAGTAACCCAAAAGTTGGCAGAAAGAGTTGAAAGTTGTCTATTTTGTAGGCAGAAGTACCAGAGAAAAGAAATTAAAACAGAGTTTTGCGAACTGTTCTTTGAATATTTTTCTTTAAGCCCAGTTCTGAGAGTGATGTAGTTACATAAGAACTTGTGGCTTTTTGAAAATATCTGTGTCTGAAGGCTGAAAATCCAGTAGGAAAATAGAAAGAATGGCAAACACTGATTTTATAGTGTGGTATCGTTTTTAGGCTTGTTCTCATTACATTTTAGGGAACCTGCCCTGTTGTATTTTGTCTCCTTGAATATACTGAGCACTTTGAAGATGTTATAAAAGCAAATGTACTTTAAAGCAATGGATTTTGAACTAGAAAATGTTGGTTGTAAGACAGAAAATGCATTACTGGCAAAGTGTATTGTATATTCCTATACAGTTAAACAGTGCAGGAACCTCATTTTGGCAAGGACTGTGAATATCTGGGACATAAAGACATAAAATATTGTTGTGGCAAGGAGAGGCAAAAGGAGGCTGAAAGGAGGCTGGGGTCCTGTGAGCTGGCAGATTCACAGGTTAATTAGAATTAAGTTCAGGTTTTGGGCCAATTATTACAGGTTTCAAACCGATTTTCTTCGTTTCTCCACCTGTCATGTACACAAGTGCTCGGTTAGACACTTAGCATGGTAAGTGCATGCAATCCTCCCTGTTACAGCCTGTGGAGTTGTGCTGTGCAGTGTGGGCAGGACAATTCCCAGATGCAGATTTCCCCCTGGCAGCAGCTCCTGGCTGGGGTGAGCTCTGCGGGCTGAGCCAGCGCAGCCCACGGGCTGGGGACAGCCTTGTGCTGAGAGGGTCTGCTGGGCTGCAGGGTCCCCCACGCCACTTCTCTGATCCCTTCTCTCTCACAGGCAGGAATGGCATCTCCTGAAAACCCCGAGCAGCTGATCATTGCCCTGGAGCCCGAGGCTGCCTCTATCTACTGCCGAAAGCTGCGCCTGCACCAGATGATAGACCTGAGTAGCAGGGCACCTGTCAATGGCTACAGCCCGAGTGACACTATTGGAACTGGATTTACACAGGGTACTTCTGTTCGTTCACTCGTTGCTTTGTCCCCCAGGGCTGGTTTCTCACTGTTTCTTGTTGTCCTTGTTCTCTTGAAATGTTTCGGGCTGGCATCAGGTTGCTTTTAAAAACTGTTTTGCTGCTTAACGTAGTTAGACTTGTTTACGTGTTGACCCAACAGACATCACAGAGTGATTTGGGTTGGAAAGAAGCTCAAAAATCATCTAGTTTCAAATCTCTGCCATGGGCAGGGACACCCTCCACTAGACCAGGTTGCTCCAAGCCCTGTCCAGCCTGGCCTTGGACACATCCAGGGATGGGCAGCCACAGCTTCTCTGGGCACCCCTCAGCACCCTCACAGGGAACAATTTCTTCCTAATATACACTTGAATTTTAGCATGTAAGCTTCTTTGTCTTGCCTTTATTAGGATGTTGTGGGAGTCTTTCAGTATTTTCACAACAGTACTTTTCTGCCTTAATTTAAGTTGGTACTTCATGTTGGATCATTTTTTTCATTTAATTTGTTGGAAACAATTATGTGTTTGGTTATACTGCATTACTGAGGCAGGGCTAAATAACTGGATCTGCAATGAAACAATTAGTCTGAGGTGTTCCCAAGTGTTGGCAGATGCTTTTTGATGTCATCTTTATAAAATATCATTAATGACTTTCAACACTCGGTGGAACTCATGGCATTGGAATGTAGCAGTGAATTTATCTGCATGTTGAAGAGCAACTGGATAATGCACTGCTGGTTTATTGAGCTGGGATCTGTTGCTACTGTCACTGTTTGAAGGGGAGGGACAGAGATTGGAGCACTGTAAGTCACTTGACAGAAGGTCCTTCATCACCAGAGATTTTTGAGCTTGGCAGCCTTCTGAAACTGGAGGCAAATAGAGGAAACAAAAAAGGAAAATGGCCTGCAGAAGTAAGATTTGGTAGCTGCACAATGTGCATATTTCTCTGTATCTCTGTGAATTGTAACAGTTGCCCTGATACTGATGGTAGTGTGACAGTCTATCCTAGGAGTTTGTCAGCAGAGTCTGTATTTTGTCACATTTGCTGGGTCAAAACAGTAGAGGCAAGTGGGAGGTTAAGCTAGTAGAGCTATTCCTGCACTTAACACAGCTTTGTTTTTTAGTTAGGCAGACTGACTACATCATTTTGTCAAATCCATGGCTCTCCCAGCCAGCACTTGTCAGATGTGTTCAGTGTTTGGAGGCCCACGCAGAGTACAGGACACAATCTGTTTTCAGGATTCTGTCCCTTCAGGGCCCCTTGGCTTTTGTCCCCCTCATTCGTGCCCTGAACTGTTTCAGTTCCATGTGATTTTACATGAACTCACTTTCAGACAACACAGGGATTTGCTTCTGGGAGAATAATAAAGGAGTTTATCTGGTTAAGGTTTTGAAGCTGGGTAGAATCTGGCAGATCATGGATTTCTGCTAATGGGCTTTTTTTTGGGTGGGGGTACCACTCTCATTCTTGACTTTGTATGGTAAAAAGCTATTGGGGATGAGAAAGGTTTCATGTCAAAATTAATGAAAACAAAGTTTGGAGTGAATTAATTTGGGGTTGGAATTAAAATTTCATAAAGGCATGGCAAGCACCCAAGACAAGCTGAGAACAGATTAAGGAGAAAAACCCTTTAAATATAAACAGAGAGAAGCACTCCAAGGACCATATTATTGCTGTGAAGTCAAAACAGAAATTTTAGTGTTCATAGTAGCAAGGATAAGCTTGCCTCAGTTGTAGTTAAAGACTGGCTCTTGTGTTCACTTCTAGCCCATAGCAGGGAATGAAAGGATTGCCATTGATTTCTGGGGGCTTGGACCTAGTGCTTGTTCTGCCATGGAATGCTTCATCTGAGCCCTCCCTGTGCTGCCCAGTCCTGCACTGAGGCTGGGGCAGCTTCTCTGCACCGTGGAGTCTGCTTGGGGAGGGTGCAGGAGCAAGGGGAGCTGATGCTCTATTTTCTGATGACAGACACTGCAGAAATAGGGAGCAAAGTGCATTCTGTGATTTGCATGCTGGTATTTTCAGAAAAAATTTCTGCTCATGACAGGCTGCTTCTCTTGTAGTGTTTTATGAAGTGCCTTTGAAGGTGAGTAATGATAGCACAAGGAATGTAGGTTTTTTTGGTCATTCAGTAATAGAGGTTGATTTAGAAGCATAAATAGCAGAAGTTTTCACTGTTTCTCTTAACAGACTGTTCTGCATCTTATAAATGTCTGAGTAGAAGTTAAGTCTTAATGGGTTGTTACAACAGTCTTGCAAGATCACACTTAATTTTTAATTGGTGTATATTTTAACTATTTTGAGGGTTAGCCCTCACAATCACTGTGTCCTTAAGATTAATTCTAATTCTTACTTGTCCTTAAGATTAATTCTGACTAATCTGAGCAGCAGTGCCTCTGGCAGCTTGTTTTGGGGTAGGCTGACATCCTGAGAGGTTGGGGAGGCGTGTTTGCCTGAGCACCCAAAATGAGCAGTGGCTTTTGGAAATGTGGAAATGTTCTCCCATCGCGGGTGGTGGGGGGTTGGCTGGGCGTGGGCTGGGGCTGCCACCTGCTGGTGGTGGAGGCTGCTGTGAGCACAGCTGGCTGCCAGCCCCCACCCTCCTGCCAGCCCCTGCCCTGCTGCCAGCACAGCTTTGCCAGTCAGAGTGTATTGAAAAACTGCAGGTCAGACCTGCTTATAGCTTTCTTATTATTAGATTGTTACTATATATGATTAGTTTACCTTATTTCTATTAGGTAATTCATACAGATTAAAAGACAAGTATATATAACAATATCAAGGAAGATCAGAGTGGCTGTAAACCATTTTTCCTTCTTCCCAGGAATGACATTCTAAGTGTCCTAGTCCCAATGCAATAATTTTTGTACATTTTTTAAGAAGGGATATGTACAGGTCTATCAGCCTGCTTGCACTTGTTTCCTGCAGGTTTTGATTCTATTTCTTCATGCTTTTTTAGACTGAGTAACTTTTTTTCTGTCAATCACTAGGGAAGGAACACGTGCGCCGGAACCGGCAGAGCCGGACCTTCATGGTGGAAAATGTCATAGGAGAGATCTGGTCTGAGCTGGAGGAAGGTACTGTCCTTACTTCGCTCTCACTGGTTTTGTATTGCAGGCAAATATTGTGTTTCCCACAAAGGTGCTGTGCACTGCATTGTTCTCACAGTGGTTATAAAGGGGAAAAGGAAAAAACCATGAACTCATGTGCTGCTCTTAGTTACAAGTGCTGAATTGCAATTCTGTATGCTCTAGCATAATAAAATGTATTAATGAGATGGTGGAAAGCCATGCAAGTGGAATATTTTCCTCAGAACGGGCTTTGTAAATCTGGTATAATATTTGGTAGCCCACTAGGATGTACACCAGCAGCATGAGCAGTCCCACTTTTCAGCTGTGCTACATTAATAGCTTTTGACATCTTTGATATTGTGTTGTAATTACTAGCAAAGGTCAGGTCTTCAGCATGGCCATTGCTGGCTGTCTGTAGGCCCTTTTCTCCCTTATCTGGTGCCCTCAGGAGCTCTCACTGCAGAGAGCTGCTGTGCTCACAGTGGTGTAAATGGCCCTGGCCTGTCCCCTTGGCATTCCAGGTGATCGGTACATCGTGGTTGACAGCGGAGGAGGCACAGTGGACATGACTGTCCATCAGATCAGGCTCCCTGAAGGACATCTGAAGGAGCTCTACAAAGCAACAGGTATTCACAGAATTCACAGAATTACTAGGTTGGAAGAGACCTTAAGATCATTGAGTCCAGTCCATGCCCTAACACCTCATGTAATGTCATTTACACTGCTTGTTTTATGTAATGAGATTATGTATTGAATATCTATGTAATGTTTGTAATTGTCAGTGAAGGAAATGTGTGCCTTTATTGCATTTTACTGACAGTTCTTCCTGAAATGAGACCAGCATTCAAAATTAGTATAACCCAGCTGCTGGTTGGCTGAATCACTCATTTATAATGTTAGAGTGGCTGTGATGATACAGGAATAACAGTGAGGCAAAGGTAAGATCATGTTGTGTATTAGACCAACTGTTACTTTAAGCAAAAATCCTCTTTTTGTGAAACTTCTCCTGTGACAGCCCTGAGAGTGCTGTTCTCATGTGTATGTGGCCAACTTGAAATGTCATAAGAGCATTAAAGAATATCCCAAATATTAAAGCTGTGTTTTGTCTGTGCTACAGGTGGGCCGTACGGTTCTCTAGGTGTGGACTACGAGTTCGAGAAGCTGCTGTGTAAAATATTTGGGGAAGATTTCATTGAGCAGTTTAAAATCAAGCGCCCTGCGGCCTGGGTGGATCTGATGATCGCGTTTGAGTCCCGCAAGCGGGCGGCAGCTCCCGACAGGACCAACCCCCTGAACATCACCCTGCCCTTCTCCTTCATTGACTACTACAAGAAGTTCCGAGGTCACAGCGTAGAACATGCCTTGAGGAAAAGCAAGTGAGTGGACAAGCACATGGATGCAGAATTAACTACTGGTAGCAAAGGCAAATAATTAAAATATCCTAATTACATTAGGACTGAAAAGTAATAGTGTTAAAGTGTAGTGCAAGGATGAGAAGATGAGGTTGCATCTGGTGCAGTTTCCAGAATGAAGAGTTCTCATCAATTTCTTGCAAAATCTTTTCCGTACAAGACTTGCACTTTTCAGGTATTGCTGTTTACAACTTCTGTTAGGCCACCACTGCATCACTTCCTGTGACTATACTGAGAGTCTCATGCATGTCTCTTGCATGTTAGGAATGTCAGATCAAACACAGAATTTGTTGCCTAGATCCTTAATTTTTAGTGGCCTGGATCCTAGAAAAAAGTCTAAGATTGTGAGATATGTAAATATGTTCATGGCTTGAGGGAAGTTATTAACAGTATCAGATCACTGGAGAAAACATACACTACTGCACAAAGCTCTGTAAGGGGAAGCATTCAGCTTTTGAAGTGATGGCAGGCTTTTGATTCTTACAGTATTTAGCAAGTTTGATAATTTACTTGATAGGCAGGGAGACATAATCCCCTCCAGAGATGTTAATTCATGATTTTCAGTATCAAGAAGTCACCCTAAATGACAAGATTGTCGGCTGCTGCAGAAAAGGAAGGGAGCAGAAAGCAAAAAATGGGCATTTTGCATCTCTTGAAGTTACAGAAAACATGGAGTTTAATGGTGTAAAAGAGAATGGACAAGAGAACCTGTGAATCTGGGACAGAAGGCTTGGGGCCTGAGAGGGGAAGGTTTGATATTTAGTACCTGTACCTTAATTTTTTATACTAGCTAGTGTTGAATGTATTATGCAGGCTGGAACTCCTGCATCTCTTTCAGAAGATACTGGTAACTGTAGCGGAAGCTTAAGTGACTTGGAATCCAGCTAACAGTTGCTTTCTAAATGAGAGTGAGGTTCTGAAATCATTAAAAAATTCTGGAAATCCTCCTCCTCATGAGGCCATCTCCTTTTTATTAATAGTCTTAATGGTGGATCTTAGAGGAAATGATAAATGCTCCCTTTAAATGAAATTAAATCAATTGGATAACAGGATAGAAAGAGTGTAAAGGTTAACATATAATATGCTTGAATGTAAGGGAGATTACTGAGCTATACAGATGTGTATCAGTGATAGAATAGCATAATGCCTGTGTTCACTTAATAAATGCTATGCCTCGTTAAAAATGCAATTCTCTCTTCTGCCTCCTGAGGCTTCCCAACTTGCTTGTTTTCCTTGTGTGTTTCCAGTGGCTTTGGCCTGCCACTGCTATAATCTAAGTGTTGCCCTTCTGGGGATGAATCAGTGCTGTTTCAGATGAGCGAGCACTACATTGACTGCCAGCTGTTTCAGAGAGCAGTTGAGCATTGCTAATGCTGCAGAAGGCAATCAGGCAAAGAAAACAACAATTAGACAAGCCAAAATAATAATTCTTCCTTCAAGTTTTACATAACTGCAGTTGGTATGGGGCTAGGGTGAGGTAGGGCACTTTGTTCCAAGGAAAACGCACACAGATTCTGTGAACTCATTAATTTATTTAATGCTGGTTGTTTCACAGCTCAGCTGCAGTGCTTTAATGTTCTCTCTCACTGTTCCTTTGCAGTGTGGACTTTGTGAAGTGGTCCTCCCAGGGAATGCTGAGGATGAGCCCTGATGCAATGAATGCTCTTTTCAAACCTACAATTGACCAGATCGTTCAGCACCTGAGTACGTATCTGTGGGTGGTTCCACTTCCTGGCTGAGCTCAAACTGAAGCTTTGCTCACCCATTTCAGCCCACTAACAACCCTCCTGGTATGCCCCAGTGTGGACAAGGAATTCAGTTCTGAAACTTGCAACTCTCTAAATATCAGCTAGGAAAACAATAAAAGTAAGGGATGTATCCTGAGCACCTACTCCTGCCTAGCCCTAGTGCTAGTTACTGAGTGTGATTCAGTTCTGATACTGCCTAAGATCCAATTACTCTGTGCTTCCAGGGCTGCAAGCATTCAGAGGGCTGACATCCACTGAGAAAGCCAGACCCTGCCTTTCATTTTCCTGGTTTAGTCAACAGCCAGATTATGCCAGAGTTGTATCTCATTTCTGATTATTACACCTATTAAGACTCCAATTCATTCCTTCCTAGTGGAAGGTCACATTTGTTCATGACCATCCAAATCACTGACATCTCCAAAGCACAAATAGTAAATAATGCATCATGGTAAAAGTACTTCCAGGCATGGCTTAAGCAGCAATGAATTTATTTGTCCAGTAATGGAAAGTGACATGTGTTTATTGGGAAAGTTACTATTTAAGGTCTTCCTAGCCAAAGATGAAATTAGTATCAAATAGAGTATAATGTTTGTGGTGAGAAAAGTGTTTCTTTCTACATATTACAAAGCACTGTTTGAAATATATATCCAGCTTTTGCTCATCATGTGTGAGGGATTATTAGCTATATTTCAGAACTTAATAAGACAACAAGTATAGAGCAGCTTATATGTGAGCAGGGAGGACTGCAACAGTTGTGACAGGTAACTCACTTCTTTGAAACTAAAAGTGAGCCTACAACTGCACTGCATGGTGTTCTTGAAAGTAGATGTGGGCTTAAGCTAAGAGGGAAAATCTGTAAAAGTGTAAAGAGGGATTATTTTGCAGATGGTGTTTATTGTGTTTCTGCTGGGGTCAGAAATAATAAGTGAATTTGAAAGAGTGATTTATCTGGAATGCAATAAAAGGTCGGTTTTAAATGCCTCTTCAAAAACATTGTATGGTTTGAGGTGAATTAATTCATAGTGAAAATATACTGGGGATAAAATGGAGTTATTTATCTGGAATGCAATAAAGAATGAGTTTTAAATGCCCCTTCAAAAATGTATGATTTGAGGTGGATGAATTCATACTGGAGATACCAGAAGTGGGGCTGGTGCATGCTGAGGGTGGCAGTGTGGGCACGGATGTGGCAGTTTCAGATCATGTGCATGGAACACTCAGTTCAGCGCCCAGACATTGGCATTTTCACATGCACGCTTGCATTGCCTTGTTGAAGTGGATTTTATTGAATGGTCTCTGTTTCTGTTCAGGTGAGGTGTTTGATAAGCCAGAGGTGACCAACGTGAAGTTCCTCTTCCTGGTGGGCGGCTTTGCTGAATCCCCCTTGCTCCAACAAGCCGTCCAGAGCGCTTTTGGCTCCAGGTGCCGGGTCATCATTCCCCAGGATGTGGGTCTGACCATCCTCAAGGGCGCTGTTCTCTTTGGCCTCGACCCTGCAGTCATCAAGGTGCGGCGCTCCCCTCTGACCTACGGCGTCGGGGTGCTCAACCGCTTCGTGGAGGGCAAGCACCCCCCGGAGAAGCTCCTCGTCAAAGACGGCACGCGCTGGTGCACCGACGTCTTTGACAAATTCATCTCAGCCGACCAGTCTGTAGCCCTGGGAGAGACTGTGACACGCAGCTACACACCTGCCAAGCCTTCTCAGTTAGTAATAGTGATCAATATCTACAGCTCGGAGCAAGACAACGTCAGCTTCATCACCGAGCCCGGCGTGAAGAAGTGCGGCACCCTGCGCTTGGATCTGACGGGAACTGACGCTTCCGTGCCCAACCGGCGCGAGATCAAAACGCTGATGCAGTTTGGGGACACTGAAATCAAAGCCATGGCTGTGGATGTTGCCACCTCTAAAAGTGTCAAAGTTGGTATTGATTTCTTAAATTACTGACGGCCCTTTCCCCCACCACAGCCTGTTTGTGAGACTGATCTTCCACTGTTCCACTTTTTGACTTCTGTCTGTCATGTCATCACCTTGAATTTCAGCAGGCTATATGAGAACAGCTAGTAAGGTGGGGTATGTTGTGTTTGTGTCCTTTGGTGACCAAGGACTGCATTTTGAAAGACCCTTAAAAAGTTTCGGGAGCAAAAGTTCCAGAGGTAGTAAAAGTTACCGAGTTACTCACGCATGCTTAAAGATCTACCTTTATAAAATAAACACTGATTATTGTTGGGTCCTGAAAGTTAGTTAAAAAAATACCAAGTTATAATCTCTTTGCCTTGTTCTTCTTCCTCTTCTGTCTGAGAAAAACTCACTAACCCACGTGGCTGTTGTAGGGGGGTGTATCTGTGTGGGATATCTGTTTAAACAGCACCATCCTCTGGCAATGGGAACAAATTAGTAGTTTTATTGTATTCTTTAGGTTTTGCCCAGTGCTTTCAGAATTTAAAGTGCTGAAAATGAATGACTCAAAGAAATAGGATCTAAATTACTTAAATTCTGAGGAAAGAAAATCCCCAGAAATCCTTAAAATTATATTTAGGAAATATGTGTGTGTTTTGGGGGCCTAATATTGATTGCTCCAGGTTGAAAACAAGGCCTTTGTATCAAAGCTCTCAGAACAAGCTGTCAGGTTAATTAGCTGGCATTACCGTCATTATACTTTGGAAAATAATACTAAGAACAAAGCTATTTCTCTTTTGGGTCTACTAAACTTATTTTATTAGTCTCCATCTGAAACCACAGAATGACAGCTTGAAGGGGACATCCATTAACTATCTGATAAAACCTCTCCATTCTACAAGCTGTCAGGTTAATTAGCTGGCATTACCGTCATTATACTTTGGAAAATAATATTAAGAACAAACCTATTTCTCTTTTGGGTCTTCTAAACTTATTTTTATTAGTCTCCATCTGAAACCACAGAATGACAGAGTAGTTGAGCTTGAAGGGGACATCCATTGACTATCTGATAAAATCTCTCCATTCTAAGCAGTATCAGTCAGAACAAGTTTCTTTTTCCAGTTTTATGGTCTCCAGAATGAAGATCCCTAAACTGTGAGCAATTTATTTGACAACCTTCACTGCAAGTTTTTTTTCTTACGCTTAAAAGGAATTTATTGAGTTTAAATTTGTGCGTGTTGCCTCTTTCTTGCTCCTTCACTGAATACCTCTGAGAAGTCTGGCTCCGTCCTCTTTCCTGTCTGCTGTCAGACATTCCTAGCATCCCCTGAGCCTCCTTGAGTCCAGCAGCCCCACTGTCACAGCCTCTCCCCCCCAATCCCTTCTCCCCTCCATGGCCCTTTGCTGGTCTCAGAGCTGTGTGTCACTCTTGTCCTGGGAAGCTCAGAGCTGGACCAGCACTCAGACGTGGTCTCAGCAGGGCTGAACCAGGGCATGATCCCTTTCCAGGATCTGCTGGCAGTGCTGTTCCCAGTGCAGCCCCGAGGCTGGTGGCACTCTCTGTGGCAGGGGCACGTTGCTGGCTCATTCAGCCTCGCTCAGTGTCTGCCACCATGCCAAGGTGATGTTGTGCTGCCAGGCTGCTTCCCAGACAGCTCCTGGTGCATGGGCTCCTTCCTGCCCACGGTCAGGACTCTGCACTTGCCTTTGCTGAACTTCATGAGGTTCCTGTCTGCACATTTCTCCAGCCTGCAACATCCCTCTGACCCATCTGCTTTATCAAGCACTTCCCCAGGTGACTGTTTTTTTTTTTCTTGTTTATTCCTGTGATAAGATTTGGAAGCACAGCTAGATAATGACTTTCCAGAAACATTTAAACAGTTCAGAAGAGACAAAACGGTTCAGATCTAAAATACTGTAATACATTTTTGTAGCAAACTTTTTAATTCAGTAAAATATATTGCTGGGTTGAGTTGAATGGCCAATGAAGTGGAAGGCAGAAGCCAATAGAATGGAACTACAAATAGCATTAAATAAAGCATTCCTTACTTGGCAGTGAGCACAGAGCTCTTGATGCAGGAGAAGTGCACTGATGGCCATGGCAGCATCTTGTTTTCCAAATAACTTTGTGAAAATGTTTCCTTAAGCATGCTCACCTGGCAAATTTCTTTTGCAACTAGAATAGCTTTTTATTTTGCAAAATGCTACAGGAAGAAAACCTACATTCTGCATCTGTCATGAACTGACAACTTCAGATTCAATTCCTAATTCCACTCCAGATTAGCAGAGTGATACCAACCTGTATAATCACCCTAAAATGCTGACACTTTCCAGTGCATTTATACAGAGCTGCCTGATTACCTGCTGGAATTCATTACATTTTCAAAATGTTGCAATGTTAATTATTAATCTAAACCTTCCTTTTTAAAAAGTTGAGCACGAGTTAAATCCATTACTGACACTTTTGGGAGATTAAAGCTTTATCAGTTATTTCATTAATTTATGTTCCAATCCTGCACTTAAACTTTGTGTTTTTCCTGGAGTTTTGCCACAGAGAGATGGACAACTGATCCACTGCATTTTGTCATTTAGTTTTCTGTGTTTCCTGCAGAATTCCCTGATTTAATGGGAAGTGTGTTCTGCATTCAGCTTTAAAATAAATAAATAAAGGACTATGGAGAATGCTAGTCACAGTATCCTGCTGGATACTTTCTATAATTACAAAGTGTGCTTGCTAGCAGTCGATTTCCTGCTGCCTGCTAAATGCTTTAAAAGCTAAATACTGGGATTTTTTTTGTGTGTGCTGCTTTCCATGGTTTACAAACAAGAGAAACTTTAAGATGAGTTATGAACAATATAATTTTATGTATATACAATATTTAAATATTGTACAGACTCTTTCTTTCTACAGTGCTATTTTCTTGTATAAAAATGCACTTTGCCTCTGTTGATTTCATTCAGCTGTTAATTTTAAATAACACAGTTTCTCAATCAGCTTCTGTAATTATAGGCTTTTAAAGATGGTAAGATATGAAATGTAAAAGGCCGATCTTATAATAATAGGAAAGAAATGTTGGTGTGTCAGAGAATACAACATTCTTCCTGCAATGCAAGTCATACCAGCTCAGCACATCACCCAAATGCAATAGTGTGTTGCTGGGGTTTTCATTTCTTTGTTTCAGATGGTGACCATTCCATCTCCAGCAATTCTTCATAATAATGGATGAATCCTCCTGTAAAACCAAAAATCAGGTTGTAAAATCTGGGTATACATCTTCTTCACTAGGTTTTGGGTTTTTAATAAGGATCTTCTCTAGTTTAAAAAACAACAACAACAACAAATGAAAAACTACCTCCCAAAGCCAGGCAACACTCTTGTATTGTAGCTACAGGTAAGACACAGTCTCTGTCTACCACTTCCACCTGCCAAAAACCAAAATTCTCACAGAAAAATAGGCTTTGCTGTCTTTGCATGCTGTGTTTAGCTGAATCTGTCCAGTTCTGCACAGATTTGTTTTCAGTGGCCTTAACACAGGATTTGGTCTAATGAATGGCTGCCACCCCCTGTCCCCCCTGTGAAGAGGAGGTGACCTGCAAGATCAGGTGGCCCATGGGTTTTGTGCTGTTTCCAGCCTGTCTGCAGGGAAAGCTGCAGGTGGTTTCTGCAGCTCTTGTGAAGCACAGTTCCCTGCCCAGCAGTGATTCTCTGCCCTCTCTGATTCACCTTTGGTAAGATCCCATCTGGATCCGAGCGGGAGCTTGTTGCTGAAATCCCTGTAACTGTGAAACGTGGTTTACATATTTTTGCACTTCCTCCTTCAGTCTGGTGAGAACACCATCAAGCTTATCTTTGCAGAGCACTGAACTACTGAACAAACTCCCAGCTGTCCTTGTTGCCCTCTTTCGGAATGGAAAATTAGCTTGTCTCTCTAAGGAATTAGAATTGTTAAGTAGAATATTATGCTGTGGTCTGTAGACAATAACCCAATTAAACAACTTTACATTGTAAAAGGCATGTGGATGCCCATTTCGATAAAGGTTGTTAGGCTGTAAAATTTATATGAAATTCACTAGGAAATGAGGCATTTTTAGAATTGTAGTTGTGAGACTTTTGCAGGACATTCCCCTGCAGAGCATTTTTTTGGTAGGGGTTTCAGATGACATTGTGCAACTTAGTGTTGGCAAGACAACAAGGCCAGCTATCCATAGGGAAAGCAGAAGGTCTTGGCAGGAGTTTTGCTCTATGCAGCAATTTGTGAGTTTGGGTCCAAGTTACTGAACTCTAGGCTGAAGTTTAGCAGCTGATTGTGATGGAATGATTAATTGTGCTAGAATATGATAAATGTGCAGTGGTGGTTAGGACAGTTTTCAGTGGTATGAGTATACCAATATTCATATACAGGAGTTTTAATGCATTATTATGAGAAGGCTAATTATATATTGCAGAGATTTAATAGCCAAGATAAGCTGCATATTTATGATATGAAGTGGCTTAAGCGGATGACTAATATAAGAGTTGTTGGGCATAATGTCACAGTACTCACCTGCTTGAAATAGTCTTAAACTATATTATAAAACCAACCATTGTGGTCTTGTTCACCTCTGTGCAAGATAAATTCAGATTTCACTGATACTTGGAGCTGTTCACAACTTGTCTGGATTGTATCTTGAGTGTTCTTGTGTCTTCAATCATGTCAAATAAAATACCTTAAAACTAATTTCTCTTTTTGGGTGCTACTCTTTTTATGGAAATGGCTATAAAAAGAAACCTTATTTATTATGAAAGCGAGGCAGGCCAAGTGGCTATGCTTGAATTTGGGTGCTCCTTTCTGTGTGGAACTGAGCAGAAGTGACACCAGCCATCTGTATGCTTCACTTGTGTGCCCAAGGTGGAACTTCACTGCTGCTCATGACTCAGCTTCAGCAAAATCGGTGTAGCTCTCTGAGTAAGGTCTTAGTTGGAGCTCAGGCAGAAGGGCTTTGGGCAATACCAAAAGCAGATCAGGTATTTTCTGTAATGATGCTCTCAGGGAGCCAGATAATGAAATACGAAATCTGATATATCAAGGAGAGGTGTAATCTCTTAGGTCTTGTATTATTAAAAGCTGTTTTATTGTTAAAAATGCATTATCAGGCCAATAAGCTGGCCAATAACCAGGTATATTAGCATGAGAATGTGCCTCTTTATAGATCTGGGGATGTTCAGTGAGGTCCAGCTGCACTGCAAAAACCCTTGCACAGCAGTTTGTGCAGTATTGCTTTTTTCTGCTACCAGCTGTAGGCCGTGTTCCTCTGAAATTCAGCAGTGTTGGCACAAGCTCTGGAGGTGATTCAGTGGCACAGGTGACCTTGGTCCATGATGCTGCAAAGATGCAGAGAGTGAACTGAGAGGCTTTAGCAGCCACTGCACCCAACTTCCACCAACATTTTCTGCAATGAAGGTGTTTTACAAGTGCTTTATGACTATAATTATAAACACCATCCTAATAGGCTAGGTACTGTATTTAACTTGTAATGAACTTGATTTCAGCTAAACATTCAATTAATGTTACTAGTACAATGGGAAATATAATTACAGTCTTCAGAGATACATTAAGAACCAAATTTTGCTTTCGGTGTTCTACCACACTGCTGAAGATTCCAGTGGAGTTTCATGTGTGTGCATTCAGAATTTAGTCCTTGCACTGGAGTTTTCGAAATCTTAGGGCTTTCTCATAGGAGTGTGTTTAGATTTAAAGCCACAGCCCCATCTTGATAGAAGGGATTTTGGGTAAGTTGTTGGTTCTACGAAATCACTTAAGCCCTTACTGAAATTTGCAGATTTTGTACTCATGTGAAAAGTTGTGGAATAAAACAACTTGAAAAGGCCTCCCTGACAGCAGTGTCCAGCTCTCTGGCTTAGGGACAGTGGATTCAGAATTCCTTTACTCAGTGCAAGAACTGCTTGGTTTTCAAGAGATGCAGCCTGGATAAATTAGTGAGAAGTGCAGATGCTTTGTGTGACTGCACTTCAGGCCTGGATGTTGCCAGTCTTGTACTTACTTAGGAATAAATTCTGTTTTATTAGTTCTCATTCATGCCTTGCTGTGTTCTAACAATCAAAAGCAATTTTGTGGTGGAATCACTGCAGAGTCACAATAAGGTATTGTGCTTTTTTCATTCAAGTTAGAGACTTGAATGTGAGTATTCATAAAAAGGAAAAAGTTTCCACCACAGCCTGTGCAGTTCACAGATGCAAAGATCAATTTCTTACAGTAAAAATTGTCTTGTACCATCCTTAGGGCATATATTGAGTCAGTTAACTGCAAACATTTTTCTGCAGACCAAGAAATTCTGCATTGTCTTTAGTTAACTAAAATATATTAGGTACTGGCTATGATTTTAGAGTAGTACCTGTTTTCTAATTTTTCAGGGATTGTAATACTAGGGAAAGATTTAATAGATGCCATATCCCAGGAGCTCTGGGCTTGTGTCCAGAGCAGAAGTTCCTGGATGAGGTCATGGTGTTCATTACCATGTGATGGCAAAAAATGATGAACTTGGTAGATTGGAGCCACTATGATCATTGTCCTCAGGTGAGCTGACACAGACATGGAGAAATGAAAAATAAATCTAAGCTTACTCCGGGAGTATTGTGTGTGCAACAGAGCCAAGACATCAAAGGAGAACAATGCCAGATGGAGTGTAAGGACGTGGGAATAAATCATGCAGACTCTATTTTCTTCATGGTGGAAAAAAACTCATTCTTTATTCATGTAACTTGGGCCAGATGGAGTGTAAGGACGTGGGAATAAATCATGCAGACTCCATTTTCTTCAGGGTGGAAAAAAACTCGTTCTTTATTCATGTAACTTGTTTTTATGCAGTTTTACAGACCTCGTGTGTGACTCCAATTGGTCAGTAGCTTTCTTGCCAATTACCTTTATTGGTTAGTAACAAGTTGTTATCCTGTATTGACTGGTCACTCAAACCCCTGGGTGTGTACATGCAGGAAAAGTTCTTCGTGAGAGATAGTTTTCATTTTTCTGTCTAACGGTGTAAAAACAGTTTATACAGGTGCCAGCTGTTTTTTTTTACCTAGGAATAGATTGTTATGGTAACAAACTGCTCACACCAGGATTGCTTTCACATGGGAACTTGCAGGGTGCTAGCTTCCCTTAGAAGAAATGACTGGCTAACAGAACAGGCCTGATATTATGAGGCCTTTTTCTTACAATTCTTCCACTTTACTGCAACGTAAGGAAACAAAGGAATTGGCTGGAGAGATGTGTGAGCAGGACCTGGATGTGCTGGAACAGAGGCAGTGGAGTGCTCCAGCAGTTACAAGGTCAGGGATGGTTTCAAAGCAGAGAGAGTGGTGAGATAGAGCTGTGACTGCCAGGGTTTGTTAAACTGCAGCAATCTAAGGAGTTAGAAAGGTGACTCTCCCTTTCCTGAGGGCAACAAGGAGTATTTCCTTCCCTTTGAGGAGTAATCTCTGCGCCTCTAGTAGGAACTTCCTTCTGCCATCAGCTGATAAGAGCAGACACCAGGCTGAGCACATCCTCTTCCTCTGCAGTCCAAAGAGCAGCCTGGTGCTGCCCGGTGCTTCCCACACACCAGCACCCTGCAGGCTTGCTAACACCCACAGGGCTGCAGCTAAAGCACTGCAGGGAGTGGGTTGCTCAGAAGGTTTATTCTTCACCTGTGACAATCATAGTGGATCTGTTTTCTCAGCCTGTGTCTCCCACCAACACTTTGCCTACATGACTATTGACTCTTCAAAATGAGTGGAGCTGAAAGAAATTAGCTGTAAGTAGAGCAGAATCTGGCAGAGAAGGTGCTGGTTCTGCTTGATGTATGCAGGAGTTGTATCTAAATATGCTTTTTTCCCACAAGCAACATTCCAGCATCCTTCTTCAGATGATTTTCTCCCTATATTCTTTGTTTGGCAGAGATGTGGATAGCAGTACTGTTTGCAGGGTGTTGTGAACACACAGCCTTGTCCATGAAAAATTCCTTACACAGTGGGCAGGAGAATAGATTTGTCTACTCAGGAAACAAGGTCAACGTTTCAGCCTGATCATTGTGTAATAAGGCAGCTGAATAATCAGGTAACATCACTGAGGATGTTCCAAAACACTTTAAAATCAGTATTGCAGTTCTTCCGTTTTGTCTTATGGGTGAAACACATGAGATTGAAGATCAAAAAGTACCAAAAGATTGAGGATGTTACAGGACTGAGGAGATGTACAAACTAGGCCGATCATATCCCACCAAAGGAATTTTCATTTCTCCCCTTCAGAGTCAGGGAGCATATAATAATTCAATAATTCAAGCAGGATATAATAATTCAGGTTTTTTCTGTTTTCAGATCCATTGAGTATTTTTGCTGACTGCAACTGCAGCTCCATCAGAGCATCACAGGAGTTTCATGTAGCTGGACAGGACTTCAGGTATCAATCATATATCACCTTCTGCTGCAAAACAATATTAGTTCTGCCTAAACTACTCCGAACTTTTATTTAATGTGGTTTTAAAACTTCTGATGCTGAAATGGTGTTACCTGCTCAGGCAGTTTGTTTCTTTCACTGTCTTCATCTGTCTGAAGTCTTACATAATGTCAGCTTTGACTCTCTGTGGTTGTCCTACCCCTAGAGAATATGGGAACAATTCATCTCATTCCTGCCCTGACAGCTTTTGACATATCTGAAGACCAGTTTCATGTGTGCCCTGAATCTAATTATTTAATTAAATCCCAGGTCCTTCAATCATGTTCTATAGACCTGTGATCTTTTTTTATGGCTCTGTTGGGAGCTTTGAGGATTAGGCAGTGCATGCTGGTTTCTGGCAGATAAGCATCTTATTGCTGGGAGGAGATTTGGAAACTGATGCTGAAGTTGTTCTGTGGGAGCACACGTGAAGGACTCGTGTGGGGAGCATCCCTCTCCAAAACAGCCCTGGTGAAGCACCAACAACCAATGAAATGGGATGTGGGGATTTGAGGCACGTTGTGGTTTTGTCTTTGCAAACATTGATTAAAGGCCTCCCTATGTTTAAGCTGGAAGGAATGTGTTTAAGCCTTAGGAGCTTGTTGCAGGAGCTGATGTTATATTGGCTGGGTGTGTTCTGGATAAATGGCACTTAGGAGGTAACCACCAGTCAAGGTTGTGAAGCAGACTGTGAGTTTGCCACTCAGAGTGCTTTCAGAATTTGCATCATTAGAGTGTTTTCCTTGAACTCCTATACTGTGGAGGTTCTGATAAACTGCTTGTGCTTTGCAGGCCTGAAGTGTGTCAAGCTTTTCAGCTGCAGGAAAAGTGCTGCAATGAAAAACTTCAAAGAGGGTGAGAAGTCTTCATGAATGACTTGAGGGGGAAGTTTTGGCAGGGTACATTGAGCTTTTTACTCTGAATTTAAAGTGCAGGAAAATACTCCAAGCACAGGAATTCACATTCCATTCTGAGTTAAAGATTAAATTAATCTGGTAGTCACCCCGACTTTTGACTAGATGTCAGCACCTCTGGGTGTCTAAATCTCCCTGTTATTAAAATCCCTGGCTTTTCTCTGTGGCTGTTATGGGACATCCTGAGCTTTGGAAAATGTAGATCTAAATGGAGAGTTTTGGAAGACAGTGCTTTACACTCAGTTATTTAATAGCTGTTTTACTCCAGTTGATGGCTGAGGAATAATCACATGATCTCTTGGGAGATTCCCAATGCTCTATCACCTAAAGCTA